ACAAAAAAAAATAGTTACTAGCCTTCCTTTTCAGCAAATAATATGGGAGCAGACAGCAAATCTCAATCAATGTAATAATTCTTCAAAGAATGTAAATTAATTCGAAAGAGGTGGAAGAGGGCATATGTATCTGAAACACGCATTTTAAATTGTTTCTGCATTTGCATTTGGTTTTAATGGCGTTTACGCCCTCTAGTGCCAGAAAACCCTGTCGTAGTGAGGGTGTTTTAACCTCAACCGTATCCATCAGTTTCAGCCTTGAGTATTTAGGCTTTGCAAAAACGCAAATGCTGGATTTATTCTTCCTATATATGTTCTCCAATTTTACAGATTTGATACAGGGGTCGCTTGGGGATGTTTTGACCCAAAGTGAGCTATTTCAAATATTAATTTCTGATGTAACACACAAAAATATGCTAAATTGAAATTTCTGTCATTATTTATTTTGACATCCACTATATGCTTATTTTTTACTTGGAAAAAATTTACTCCTGTGTTCAAACAAACAAACAGGGGTTAAATAAGCAGCATTGTCCCTCTCATTTTTTAAGATTATTAAAGAAAATACATTTTCTCTCACATCAAGGAAAAAAATGGCCAAAAAGTATGATTCATTTCAGTTATAATTTGGACCTTTGACTTATGAAATATTTCATCTTACAGCCATCAAAAACTGGGTTTCATTAGATTCAGGAAAAAGATGAATAGGTGATGATGCCACAAATAGTCTGTGTTGTCTGAGATTTCTTGAATTATGGGTATGGAACACTAGATATATTCCACTCATCAGTTAGAAAATCAGTAGTGTGTTGGCAGGTGGCTCTCCATGGGTAAGATCTGACATGGCAGTGCTGAGATTACCAGCTGGGCAGTAGTAACCCCAAATACATTTGTGTTTCTCAGGTTCCTGCAAGAGCTCCATCTCCTGTGTATGACTCAAGCTGCATTTTGTTCTTCCTCCAGTCTGTCATGCAAAGTGCTACATCACACCCATGTTACTCACATCAACACTCTGAAAGAGACAGTGTTTGCAAAATGAAGGAATCCCCTGGTTTGCTGTCTGTCTTGCAATAAGGAGTCAAATATGTAAAAGTAGTCTGTGTCACCTGATGAATACAAACAACCCAGACAAACATACATGCCTCTAAATCATCCATCCAATCCATCCAATCCATCCCTCCATCCATCCCACCATCCATCCCTGTACAGTGTCACTTAGTGAAGAGGATCTCTAAAACAAATTCTAAATTCTGCAGGCTTTATTTGTGCCATCATCACCTATTCATCTTATTCCTGGATCTAATGAAACTCATGGACTGCAAGCAATAGCCCCTCTGGCCTGTCTGGACTGCACCCAGTGAAACCTCAGCATTAATTTGATCATGTTGCTTCTGACTTGTGATTTGATAAAACTTGATTGACACACCTGATTTGTCATAGCCTTTTTCCTTTTTTTTTTTTTTTGGCAACTGAAGTAGAATGAACCTGATTGATATCAGGGATCAGTATGAAGCCTCTTTTTCTTCATTCATCCAGAACATAAAATATTGGGATGACACGTCTGACATTACAAAATTAGATTGTCAGTACAAATCACAAACACCCAAAGACTGGCTTGAGCTTTGGCTACAATAATAGACACATGCAGAACAGACAATATACAAAGCTATGAAAAGACTGCAACTAGGGAAAAAAAGCAAATAAATGAGAATATGTCTGGGGTTCCAGCCTGAAGAAAAGTGAGACAAGCAGAGTAGCACTAGATAAAACCTTAAAATAGTCCCCTTTTGAAAAGGCAGTCTGTTAAAATTGCTTAATAAGATTCTACATTTGTTGTGTCTCCATGGCTGAAGAAATCGGATTTTCTGCCGAATTTAGAATTTGTTTTAGAGATCAAGTATAAATTTTTCACTTTGAAATGCTAGCACCTCAAACTTCCCTGCCATCTGAAAATGGAGTTACACTCTTTTTTTCATTTGGAATTTCTAAAGAATAAAACAATTGCAGTTGGATCTATAGAATTAATTTCCTTTCATTTTATGTCATCCATTTCCATTGGTGGTGTTCAGTGATATATGAGGTATAACTAAAGGTAATGTTTAATTCAAGAGGAGGAACTTCATTAGCAATTCTGATCATGACTACCCTAGACTAAAATCTGTGTCACTGTCCCAGAGGAGAACAAGGCTAACCAGGCCAAATGTGGCAAAACCTCTGTTTTTTCACAGAAGTAACCAAATATGTTTCTCACCCTGTGAGAATTAAGAAGACTAATTTCTTTAAAGTAATTTTTTCTATAATTTTGTTTAAACAACCCCAGCGCAGTGGTTAGTAACAGGAGAAAAACTAATGATGTAGAAATTATTAATGATGCAAAAGGTATTACTGGCACTAAATAACAGACTTGCAACATTACCTTTGGAAAATGTCACTGTATTACAACTGATGCAAGCTAAAAAGAAAAGTAACTGAAAGCAAGTTATTTTTAAGTAAGCAGTATATGCATCTGCATGACATTTTGTCCAGAAAGTAAGAAAAACATTACAAAATACCTTCATGTGTCAAACAATCCTATTTTTTTTTTTATTTCACTCTGTAACACTAAAATATTATGAAAAGACATCTGCTTATGTCACTGGTTAGGTTCACACATAAATACTGAAATGCTAAAGATAGATGAGCTTGTGGTTCCTGTCACAACTCCTAAAGCTTCAGTCTGCTCTTGATTCATATAATTATAGTGTCACATTATCAACAGGATGAACTATATCCCTGAGCAATTTCGAGCCAAATTAATTAGAGCCAGCAATGTCTTCTGTCCACAGCTGCCATCAGTGACAATGGAAGCTTATGGAGGTTCAGCAGTTTGGCATTTCAAGTGATAAGCATCTAAATATAGGTTTAGAAATCTCATTTAAGAGATCTAATTTAAGACATCTAGTACTGGGCACGTACAAATTTTGCATTTCAAAATCACGTTGTTTCTGTTTACACAGTTTGATCCAATATATGAAAATACTTGTATCTATAAGAATTAAGTAAAATTAATGAATAGTAAAGCAGGAATGTTTGCCAGTGATTTGATCTTAGGTCTTGTCCCCAAAGCTCACCACCCTGGCCCTTTGCCCACTGCTCTTCTATTGCTCTGCCTGGAAAAAAAAATGGGGTTAGTGAGGTGCTGGGGATCCCATTTGTCTGAGACCTTGAAAGGTCATTTATCCATTTCCTTGCCCAAAGAAAAGAACAGCTGGTCATGCATAGAGCTGATAGTCAGCTCAGGCTTTAGGAAGAGATAAACACCAAAAATGCCTATGTAGTGGGGTGCAAATGTTGATGTGAAGGAAAGCATTACATTCTTTCTGTTATTTTTCCAGTTTCTAGATATCTTTATTAAGACCAGTTATATTATTGATGTAAAATATACAATCTATTAACTTATATACTTTTCATGCAACCCTGTCATGTCACAAAATGAGAAACCAATAGCGTTCAAATTCTGAGTAAGTGTGGGGGGAAATATTGGCAGAAATATTAATTATATTATTCATGTGAATATTTTACGCTTGGACATGCTTAGTAAAACAACCAAATATTTATTTAATACAACACAATCTATGTCAATAGTCTAAAACTTGGTCATCTATATTATATCTGCCTGTATGACAACTTATTTGAATATTTATGTTCAACACTTTACTCATATCTTACAAAATGCACACCATTCATCTTCACCTTCTTTTGACATGAGCTGAGCTGTCATTGCTAGAAGGTGTCCTCTAACTTCCTATAGTTTCTCTATCATCCTATATCCTCACCTTTTTATCCATTCCTTGTGATTATGTACACAATTTGGACATTGATTTGAAGACTTCCCCCCCTTCTCTGTTATTTTTCCAATTCCTGATGCACAGACAGGTTTTGTTTTCCAGATACTGTTTTCTAAACACTGTTCAGTTTACCCACAGTTTTATTTCCTAACTTTTCTTGTGTTAAGAGTTTATAAATTGTTTGTAATAGGGAATATGTTATCTCTCTTTTCATAAGCATACTAAACTCACAAGCTAAAATCAATGTTTAATAATGACTTAAAATCCAATAAAGTTAAAAACTGAATGGTACTTGAAAGTAATTAATCTTTTTATTAAACTCTGTAGGATGTAATTACATACTTGTCCCCTATAGAATACAGCAAAATGCAAACAGCTAAAATCTCTTACTAAGTTGTCGCTGGAGTGCCTTTACATACATCAGTAACACTTTGTTCTTACTTGCTGGACAAAACAATATCCAATATCATAGAGAAAGGTGTTAGCTTTAGTAATTCTGAGCACTGCCAGGATTGCAGTTACAATTTGGTGGCTTCCTTGCTTGTGGCTTGAGTTTTCCATGTTTGCTTTCACCTAGACCACAGAACTCAGTTACTCCAGCTTCTCATGTCAACAACAAGTTAGGTCAGCCATGCTTTTGTCTAGCCAAGGTCAAAAAATACAATGATGGAAAGTCCATGATCTCCTGGGAAACCTGTTGCAAAAATGTGTCACCCTGCTAAATGAAAGTACTATATCAGCTTGAGACAATAGATTATTCAGTTTAGTATCTAATTTACCAAGTGGTCTCTCTTAGATCTTGCCAATGAAATTGATGAGTTCTTTCAAGTAAACAGCATAAGGACTGAACTCAACACTGATTTTTTTTCTTAGCAAGGTCATTCTCTCTCCATTGCAATAGAGGCAGCCTGGGAAGAGTACAGCAGATAAAGCTTGTGTTTTACCTGCCACCAGTTTGACAGACAGCAGACCCAAAATTTGCTTCAAATTAAAATTATTTGTGCTCAACAATTGGCATGCTGTATGTGTAAGAATATGTGTAAAAGCATTATCTATAAGCAGCAAATATTATTTGCAAGAGAAGTAAAATATATCGTGCAACTAATTCATTGTGAAATAAAATGATTAGAAGAGATTTTGTTTTTACTAAGCCTTTTGTTTTCTTTAACCCAGGTATGGTGACATGGTGCCAAAGACAATAGCTGGCAAGATTTTTGGTTCAATATGCTCCCTGAGTGGGGTCTTGGTCATTGCTCTGCCAGTTCCTGTAATTGTCTCCAACTTCAGCCGTATATACCACCAGAATCAACGAGCAGACAAGCGCAGGGCACAAAAGGTGAGCTTCTAATTTTTCCCCCTTATGTTGTTGAACAATAGATAAAATATGATTTTCTACATTCTGTGTGTCATCATAGTGCGTATTTCTTGGCAAGAGGATCACTATATGTATATGCTACATGCCTAACCATGTCCTAGATGCAAATACTGTCTTATTTTTAGTGAGGGAGAAAACCCCAACTCAAACCAAAACTGGTTCATTTATCTTTTTTGTCAAAATGTGCAGAACTATTATTTTCATAATTAATCCCACACATTAGACTAGACCTAGGATTCTTAGACAAAGCTGCACTCCCCTACTGAAGATTCTTCTGTGCTTTTTCAGGCAGGCTTTCTTTCTACCACAGTCATCTGAGGAAAAATAAAAAACCAAAGCAACCAAACAACCCACCAAACAAACAAGGAAAACCCTCAAACCTCATAATGATTTCTAACATCTCTGCTAGCAGATTGCTTCACTAATCCAGGTTTAGTTAAAGTCCTAGATTCAGTCTCTGGGGGAATCTGATTGTTGGGGAACTTGTCCCCTCAGCTGTATTTTGCTTAAAAGGCTTCAGATAAACAGCTCAATCAGATAAAGAAAGTAAAAGTCTGTTTTTTCCAGCTTCCTTGATTTGCTGAGTCTCTCCCTAAAATATCCACTAGATCTACAAGAAGGCTGTTTCCCTTCCTGAGAAGGGGAAAGGGGTTAGGAAGAGAAGTATTTATCAGGAGGGATTCAGCCAAGCCTGGACAGTCACTTACATCTCCACATCACTGCTAATGCACTTGTTCTAATCCACTTGTCTGAATTTTGAGCACCCATGGTGACCTGGAGCCTGCTCTGGGAGCTGAGATGCCTTGCCTTCCTCTCCTCTGTGGATGGCATTTGAAAGGCTTCAGATGCCACACAGGTTGCATGATTGCCAAGGCTGAGGTGTCACCACTTGGGCTTTTTGTGGGCCCATGGTGACTCTTCAGGGGTCCTGAGTCTCCAGTGATCTCAGGAGAGCAGGATCATTCCTGGGGAAGTGTGCAGGCAGACTGGGCTGGGTACTGCATGTATAGACCAGGAACACAGGCGGCTGCAGCCTGCATCTGCTTCATGTCAACAGCAGCACCACAGATAAATGATGTTTGTGTGTTTCTCTCTGGCCACCTTTTTGACTGATTTCTTCATTCAAACAAACAAACAAGCAACCACACACCCAAAATCAGTTAAATAAATGTATGCATTGATACCTTTCTCAGAATATCTTAAAATCAGGACAAACATGGTCAAGAAACTCATAGGCCCAGGCAGAAGATACAGCACCTTTCAATGGCCACACCTTGGAAAAATGCTTACAGATGAGGAAGATGCTATAAAAAGAAATGAGGTGTATCACAAGAATGTCATACCTCTCTAGAAACCTGATCTAAAATAGGCTGCTTCAGGGATCCAAATCCCATATTTTATCTATCTACTAATTCCACCCACTCTTCTGCATGCTGTTTTGTCCCACAGTCTAGTTCCAGCTGTGTGTTCCCCTCTTTCACAGCTGACTTCATGTCACTTCTACACTAACTTGTTTTTGTTAAGAACTTTTCTACTTTTTGTGGAATGGCAGCAGAGAAAGAACTGTACCTCAGTCAGGACACAGTGGCTGTGCCTGTGCCCCTGAGCACTGTGGCTGTCCTGGGTAACAGGTCTGCTCGATCCCAGCAATGATTGTGCCTGTTCTGAGCTTTCATAACAGCTGCAGTCACAACCATTTCAGATAGAAACTGTGTGCTACTGCATGCCACAAAACAGGGAGTTTTCTAGGCCTGCTTTACATTTGTGTCGTGGTTTAACTCAGCCAGCATCCAAGCCCCATGCAGCTGCTCACTCACTCCCCTACCAGCAGGATCAGGGAGAGGACTGGAAGCATGAAAACACAGCCCCACACCAGCCACTGTGAAGAAAATTAACTCTACCCCAGCCAAAACCAGCACAATTTGTCAATGAAAAAGAAATGGACACTAGAAAATATCTCACAAAAGTTAAATTGCTAGACTGGCTGCTATTCCCCATAATCTCTTCCTGAATAGAAACTGCTTGAGTTAATAGCTGACTTTTTGTCCTTGCAAAACAGTGAGCTCATTGTATGTTTCAAACAGGAACACAGAGTGATGAATGGCAAACCTGCCAAGCATTTTTTCCTCTACTCCCCAGAACAACGCCAACAGCAAGGATGAGAGATCTCCTCTGACTGTGTTTATGCCCTTCTTGCTTTGGAGAAAATGGCTTTGAGGTCTGATTAACTTAGCACTGGATGTGTGTTTCATTGATATCTCCTATTGCAAAGCCAATCTCTTTCAATCTAAAATGACTGAAATGTTGAACTGAATGTCGCTCTGATGGACTAAAAAAGAAAAATCAACAAAAAGCACTTCATGGGTACTGTATAGTCCATATTTAGCTGTGAAATATAGCCTTGCATTTCACAGGGGGTTTCTACTACATTGTAAAAGAATATTCAGGCAAAAAGGTCACATTATTGAAGTTTGAAATTCCTTCTTCATTCAATACAATAGAGGCTTTACACCATTTTCTCAAATAAATGTTTCCCTAGGCACTGAACTTGTTTCTGTTCTCTGAGGCTGAAGAACATAAGCTTAAAAGAAGGTGCAGTTTCACAGAGAGTAGCACAAACCCCTGCAGGCAATGGTACCTCCTGCTGGCTACAACAGCTTCCATTGGAGTGAGACACTTGTACCTTTGAATTGAGCAACTTTATCAATACCTCATACATAAGTTTAATCAAGATAAAACTTCAGAAATGGCAAAACACTTGGGCTGGAAGGAAACCTAAGAGAAAGTTCTTTGCTGAAGAGTTGAAATCTAGTTCCAAAGCACTGACAATTTACAGCAGAAAAATATTGTCACTTATATTAGGATTGTTAAGAGCCATGCAACCATCATTTTATGTACTTGCTGAATTCTGCACAGTTATTCAAGATTAGACAATTTCACTTGTTTCTTTTTGGCACAAAGACACTGCACATTAATGCTTGGGAGAAGATGGAAGAGAGAAATTTATTTATATACCATTGCATTTTGAATAGATTTTAAAGGAAGCTCCTGCTTCCAATCATAAAAACACATTGTTATAATTGCCATGAAATCCCACTCTGTAATACAGAAAATGTTGGCAGGATAAGCCAGCTTTCTGCTGTAGTACAGGAAACCCCTTGCAATCAATATAAACAAAAACAGACAGGATGTGGGGAGAAAGGAAAAATCATCTATGCTTATCAAAACATTGTTTTCTATCACATAGCAAGGTCCAAGGATCTGGCCTATCCTGACAAGAAATGGATGAATAAATAATCCAAACTAGACATTGAAATTCAGGGCATAACTAATTATGCCCTGGAGTCTGACTGTGCCTTCTTCTCAGGCAGTTTTATCAGTACTGAGACAGTTTTGAAAAATGCTATTTGTGGAGATTTTCTCAGCTAGAGACAACTTCAAGAGGTTGTTATTTTGGTTGCCCATTAACTTTGGGCAAAGTTAATGACACTTGGGAAGGGAAGGGAAGGGAAGGGAAGGTTTAGGCATGGTTGGGTATGATTTCCTATTCTGTATGTGATAGGTAGCAAGGGCTGAGGTTTGGCAGGACACTCACAGTGCCATGTTCACTGGGATGACTGCCGGCCCAGGGAAGGGACAGGAGGAGACACAGCTTCCCTCTTGGAATGGGTGTCTGGCCACTCCATGGCAGCTTGGACCCCAAGGTCCACTCCCAGCAGCAGCAATTATGATTATAAAGTCCTTCATATCCTGAATGAAGCATCCCTTGCGATGTGCCTTTTCCATACATGTCTTTGGGAGGCAAGAGCCTTGTGTCCTCTTGGCCAGCAAGTGCCTGAGTGCAGGTGCATCTGCCCAGTGCTGTTCATTACCTGAGGAACAAAAGAGCCTTAATATTAGTTGCCCAAGCATCTTCTGCCTAGAGTGCCTTTGCATGATGCCTCAACAGAACAGCCAAACAATCATCATCAGCTCCAAAATTTGATTTAGACATAAAATTCAACCTGAATCTTTCATGCAAATATGGTCTTCTACCTTCACAGAGCAAAATATATCCTGAAGATTGGCTTGGCTTTGTTATTTATTAATTGCACATGATGCATTTATCTGTCAAGTTATGAATAATCATTTACTAGCTAATTATAAACAGCTCTAGGATAAACTGCAACAACTGCTTAACAGCATCTGGAAGTCTAGAACTGAGTGTTTGCAGTAGGAAACCCTGCTAGCCATTTTGACTTCTTTATATGAGACAAGCTATTAATATCAGAAGTATTACAGAAATATAACTAACATTAACTTATCCAGGATTTTTGAGTTTAGCAAAAAAAAAAAAAAAGGCAAGTAGAACTTGTGTTTATTGAACAATAATTTAAATAGATTGTGAAAGAAAGGCACCACTCAAGAAATGTATGAACCTTATTTAATTCCATGTCCATTAATGTGCAAAGTAAACAGCATTTTCTTCTCTGTTACATATTGATGTCATGCAAATTATTGTCAGCTAATATGAAATCAATCATTTGCAATTACTGAAAATTAGGCAATTAGAGCACGAAATGTAGGTGGGATTTTTCCCTTAAAAACAAACACACAGGGTGGATTTATGAAACACCAAACAAAAAAAAAATCATATTAACAAAAAAAGCAACTGATTTTTTTGGACAATATTTGACCTTGCTGCAGGAGCCAGTGTTGTGGTTCAGCACAGGCAGGCAGATAAAGCCCACTCTGCTGCTCACTCTGTCTCTCCTCCCCAGGAGGATGGGGTGAAAATCAGAAAGGTAAAAGTGACCCTTGGAGGATCAGAAAAGGCCTTGGCTCTGTACAAGCACTGTGCAGCAGTAACTTAAACATCCCTGAATTGTAAACACTGTTTTCAGCACAAATCCAAAACACAGCCCCATACCAGCTCCTGTGAAGAAAACCAGCTCTGTCCTGACCAAAGGCTGCACACACAGAATGACTGTGGAGGGATTTTAATATTTTAAATGTACAAAATTATTAAACAATTATAACTAAAAGGTAAGTAATTGCTAACTTTTGAGTTTTCATAGTAAAACAATTATGTAACCTGGAGAGCAGCAAGAGCCAACAGCAGTTAAGTACTAAATTACCTGGGCTACCCTGGCTTCTTGCATAGCAAGCTGAAGAGAATTTTGACAGAAATTATTCCCAGTACCACCATAAGTCCTGTCCTAAAACCTTCCTGATGAAATCATTCTCTTAAAATAGCTGGACAGCTGAGGGCATCTGAGTGTCAAAAGCTGGATGTTGTAAATACCCCACAGTGCTACATTTAGCTCTACTTAAAACCTTGTGAAAATGAATGTTTATATTTCTAAAACTGACAGAGCTAACTGTTGTTGAATAACAGTGAATTTCCTTTGTGAGGTTTCTATGAATGCAGCTGCAGACAAGGATGCAACTCTATGTTGTAAAATTTGAAGATAGAAAAAAGAAAGACATGCATTTAAAAGAGAAATTCAGTGCAAATACAAGGGATGTGGCAAAAATTAGAGCTGGTCATCAACTTCTTAGGAAGATGGAGATGGATGATTGGGGTTGAATTTCATTAAAATATGCAAAAGAACTATATTTCATCTACATTTTTTTTAGTCCTAGACCATGTAAAAATTACCAAAATCAAAGTTTCATACTCAGGAGATCTTCATATCAAAGATATCATCTACTTCAGGAGAACTTAATACTTTTTTTTTTTCCTAGATATTTTGTGAAAGAGGAGGATTAGGAAGGGCTTTGAAGTGGTTGAAAGAGGCAGTTGTCACTCCCATTCTGTTATTCATGACAGAAAATGCAGTCTAAAGGACAATGCAGCGCTTCTGTAGCACAGTCTCCTTGATGTCATCACATCATTGTGATGACTTTCGTGGGACTTCTATCCCCAGTGCACAGCCCTTAAAATCCTGGGGATGACATGAGCTTTTAATGATGCCTTGATAGGAAATGTGAGAAGTCACTAGACTGCTCATGCTGCAGGCTCATATATAAATCAGGCAGAAGCTCTGAAAATAAATCTTATCACTTTAGCAGATTTGTAAACACCTCCAGTTTCTGCAGTATTTTCTCTAAGCTGAAATATAAACATGGAGGCCACAATATCTGCTTCCTCTCTTCCTCTCAGATTTATTGTCTTCTCTTTCGTAAATGGTATAAATTCAGACCATCTGAATGAGTCTCAGCTGGAAAGATGTATGCTATTACTTTCTAGCTCACAAAAGCTTTCTAACATGCAATAAATTCATACTTGCAAAGCAGTTTTAAATCTTCACATAGAAACTACAGCCTTCATATTATACATGTCATAGCACTGATATATTAAGATAGTCTGATGGACTGTTATGTTTTTCATATTTCTTTATTAAACGATGCTGCACCATAATTATTACTTCAATCGCTAAAGAGAAAATGAATATGCATGTTAAAAGGAAAAGCAGAACTAATGTATGCTAAATGTCTGTTCATTAAATCTAATGAATCTCCCTGTACAGAGGAGACTGAAAAGTACCACAGCTAAAACACTTGTGACTGAAATCCCTTATTTATGGGACTCCTCCAAAGGCATTTCCAAACCATCTTGAGCTCCTAAGACTAAACTTTTATATATTTATGAACATAACCAAGTGCCCTTGTCCCAGCCCATGACTATTCTGTGGTGCAGCTAAAACTCCTTCCCCCACCCTTCAACCCAGCATGTTGGGGTTGCATCACAGGAACATCATTTTGAAAACAACCTGTTTTCTGGGGACTGAGCCACCCACTGTGCTGGTAGCCCTGGATGTTCCACCTAAGAGTGAAACAGTGAGCCAGGAGGGTAGGAGCTGTAACAGTTCCCCACACTGGTTGTTCCTGGGGACCCCAGGCCAGCTCATCAGGGATCTTTTCTCCTTACTACTACAATAAGATGTATTAAGTGCATTGCTGGAAAAGCTATATTCACCAAGAAAGTCAATAAACAAATGTGTTATCTTAAAATGGGCAATATATCACAAAATCAATCAATAGCCTCTCATGTGAGCTTTTTGGCTCAAGGATGCCCACATGTAGAGCATTACTTTATTTTCTTTCAGAACAATTAAATGATAACAAATGCATGACATAGCACGAGCCAGATTTCAGCCATGTTAGCTTTTAGCTGTCATAAATTTCTTGGTTTGCTTTTGAGAAGATCTGTGAGTTTGAGTCTGTGAGTGCAAAGAAATGTGGTGTTAAGCCATTCCTCTAAGTCAGTTAATTATTAAACACAATGCCAGAGAGATCTGGTGGCTGCGGTGACTGGGCTGCATCCCTCTCTAAGCACATACTGACATTTAATGTCACAGAAATTTGGGGAAGGGGGGAAAATACTCTCTCTATTTTTTGAAAATGTCCACAAATTAAATATCAGATATGAAAATCCCTACTAATATATCAAAATTGGATTTTCAAGTGCTTTTCCTTCCTTTTCAAGTGTATCTCCTTCTGTGCTTCAGCAGCCATTTAATTCAAGATGCTGCTAGGCATTTGGCTTTCACAATCAGGGATCTAACCATGAAGATAAACCCAGATGCCATCTTATACATGTAATGAGCCACAAAATATACAGAACCAGGATGCCATCCTAGTAATCCCATAAAAGCTTCTTTTTCCACATTAATGTTTGAGAGAGTCCATTCTTCATGCTTTCCCCTAATTCTGTGTTCTGTGTTGTACAAAATTCAGTGGATGCAAAATGACTGTTGCTCATGAGCCTCCTTCTACTCTGGGTGAAAGTCATCTTCACAAGCAATGAGGCTGACCTGAGAAATCACAAATTTCTCTCAGTAATTGATACCTGCAGTCTCTGAAAAATCAGGTTGTGAACAGTTTATGACCAAATATGATAAGTATTAAGTCTGGTTGTACTGACAGACATGAAGAGGTAGGTGGAGGCCCGTGAGGAGTGGTGTCTTTCAGAGCTTTGTCTTGGGACTGGTGCTCTCCAGTATGTTCATCAATGCCACCAGCAGTGAGATCAGGTGAGCTTCAGCAAGTTTGCAGAAGACACAAAGGTGAGCAATGCAGCTGACACGACAGAATGAAGAGCTGCCATCCAGAGGGACCAGGACAAACTTGAGAAGTAGGCCCATGAGAACTTCATGAAAAATCAAAAAAAATTCAAGTGCAAAGTGCTTGCACTTGGGTCAGGACAATTCCACGCATGAGTACAGGCTGGCAGAGGAGGTAACTGAGAGCAGTCCTGTTGAGAAGAACATGGGAGTTCTTGTGGATGAAAAGCTGAGGATGAGCCAGCACTGTGCACTCACAGCACTGAAAGCCAACCACATCCTGAGCTGCGTTAAAAGCAGCATGGCCAGGAGGGCAAGGGAGGTGGTTCTCCCACTCTACTCTGCCCTGGTGAGACCCCACCTGGAGTGCTGCATCCAGCTCTGGAGTCCTCAGCACAAGAAAGACATGGACCTGTTAGAGCAGCTCCAGAGGAGGGCCACAGAGATAATTCAAGGGCTGGAGCATCTCTCCATGTCCATGTTCTGCCCCACAAGACATAAGGAGTGGCAGTTGCAGCAATGTGAAAACAAAAAAGGTGGAACTTCCGTACTGATCTGTTTAATCCATTATCCAAAGTCAGTGTTCTTAGTAGCTGATACATGCAAACAAATAAAAACTTCTATCGAGTGCATTTTAAATGGGAAGACACTTGTGATTTTCTCCACCTGGAGGATGGATGCAATGTAGTCTGTCAGTCACTCTGAGATTGGTATTCATAAGCAGCTGATTCCAATTAGCAGTTTTAGATAAACAGGGTAATGGCTGTGAGTACAAATGGCACTCTTCATTTTGTCTGTTTTCACAGAAAGCCAGGCTCGCTCGAATCCGCGCAGCGAAGAGTGGGAGCGCTAATGCCTACATGCAGAGCAAACGAAACGGCTTGCTGAGCAACCAGCTGCAGCAGGTAATGTTTGTGTTCCCTCCACCTCTGGAGTAACCACTTAATGACAGCCCAGCAGTAGTTTATTCTACTTATCACCAGGGTGAGTCACCTTGGGGCTTTGGGCAATGTTATCTTTAGAGGTAGATTTAGGAAGGATAAACTGGACAATTACTACTGTTAAAGGAAGTTGTGAGAATCGATGGTGGGGTATTAAGAGATGAGGAAAATGTCCACATAGAAATTCTGGATTCAATGGAACCCACATTTTTGGAGTTAGATCCTGTAGAAGAACTCATTAAGGAAAGTACAGAGCATTTGCCTCTTAGGAGGTGGGTTGGATTTATCTCACTCGGCTTTAAACAGGTAGAACATGGATGACAAAACCAGGTTTCATCATCAGTAAACGAAAAGGCAGCTCTTGAATACTGTTTGCAAAGAGGGGTGTTGCAGAGTGAAGTGTTCCCTTGAAGCACCTACTTGGGTTTAAGGAGAATCTTGGTGATTACCTCAAATGCCTTATAATCTAATGTTATCTGCAGTAAATTCCCTGCTCACCCTGCCACAGAAGCCAGGACCAGCAGCTGGGACTGGGATCAACAGTGACCCACACTTCTGGGAGACAGCCCCTTGGCTGCTCAAAGCCATACCCAGCTGAGAAAGACTGCAGACAGAGTGGTTTTTAATCCCTGCCATTTTCTGTCATTTAGGCTATTCCCTGAGGAATACAGGAAGGCTTTTATTCCTCTGTGCCCTTTCTCTTCAATACATTTTAAACAGCCGGATACTTAAACCTATAGCCAGAAGAGGAGGAAGTGGCTATCTGTCTATCTGTCCCGTCTAGAACAAGAGATGAGCACTCAGAGCCCTTGTTTCCTCTTCTGCTTGAAAGAACTCAAATATTTGAATCAAAAAGACACGAAATAGCTTAATTACCATGCAGATTTCAAATATCCCATGGTTGAATTGTATTCTTTTTTATTATGCCACTTCCTCCCCTATTTAGTTTTTTGCTTTCTAGTGAATAATTATGAAAGCAATTAATAAACAGTGGATGCTTTCTGCTTAATTCTTCATTCTATGTCAGTAACATTTGCTATACGCTTTCTAAACCCACTAGATTGGGATCACTGACATGAATTTTGGTGTAAGCAGCAATACCACAAATTCTTTAGTGCTATGAAATGATCCTGGGAGGACAGCTATTTTTAGTTTTCCTCAAATGAGGCACATTCTCAGGAAGAACAAATATCTTACTGTAACTTAAATTGATTAAAATTTTAAACATGTGTTGATCCAACGTTCAAAGCTTATGTGTTTATTGCACTTGTAAATGGTACTCTTTTATACTTGCATAAAAGATCTAAGATGAAAACATTTAAAAGGAGGTGCAAGCAAGGGAAAAATAGTTTGATTTAAAAAAAGCAAAAGCAAATTAAGGTGCAAAATAATTTTTGGTATACTTTGTAGACGAAGCATTGCAGTTATGCTGCCATGTACAATCCAGTTCTGATCAAATATTTGGATAAGAACCCTCTTGTTCAAAACTGAGAATAATACAGAGTTTTATGTACCAACAGTCCTCCAATGAAGAAGAACAGGCCTTTGTTGGCAAATCTGGCTCTTCCTTTGAAACACAGCACCACCACCTGCTTCACTGCCTGGAAAAAACCACGGTAAGAAAAGAGAACTGTGTTTTCCTGAGAATTGCAACACCAGCCTAGATTTGAATGTTTCCAGTTCTCTCTTCTAATTAATGAGCCTTTATATTAAAGCAGTTAGCTAGGAAGAAAAGCCATTTTATCTTATTTTAAGGCTTTATGCCAATGTATGTAAATAACAGAGAGATATAACTTCTGCTATATCTGATGGAGATCACTGTGAAAGTCTTTCTGCTTTTTCTCAAAAAAAAAAAACAAACAAAAAACCCAAAAAAAACAAACAAAAAGACAAAATACTCCCCTAAAACACACAAATAACAAAGACTTAATCTTTTCCCACAACAAATTGTTAAATTTTGATAAATTAAAACCTGATATATGTGTGGAATTTAATGTTCTCCTTTTGACAGCATATCTTTGAAATAAAAGGGCCCAGTTGTTATGTCAGTTAACAATACATCACCCACATGCTTGTTGTGCTTATTTCTCCTCCTTTCTTAATTTAGAAGTATTAATTTTATAAAATGTGCTGTAGCACAGAACACCTTACTTCCTATTCAGAGCACACTGTGGTTTCTTTTGCTAAGATTCTTGCCGGGTCCTTTTGAAACATTTTTAAGACATATTGTACCAGAACCTGATAACAGCAATTTGCCTTTACAATTTTTCCACAGTTGAGTATTGCAAACATATTTAAAAATCTGAGCAATAACCACAAGTCTTGTCAAACTTTCATAGAAATCATGGGAAAAAATTTCTATTTATTTAGTAGGAGCTGAATTCACCTCCCCAAGTTTCACCTTTCCTCTAATCATAATGGAGGAGTCTGTAAAACTTTTATTCTTTTTTTTTTTTATTTTTATTTAAAAAATGAAGTCTATATAACAAGTATTATCTTGTTTCTTGAATCTACATTTTTCTTTCTTTCTGTTGGGTTTTGGTACTGGCCATGAGTTCCTATGATATATTAACACAAAAATATATGCAGCAGTTCCAAGCTGTATTCTGGAGATGATGAATTCCTAAAATTTTAGTGGGAACTTGATATTTTGGGCCCTCAGCATTTGACATCTGGCAAGTTTCTGGTTCACTGTAGAACAGGAAGGGTGGTGTGTCTTCTTAAGACTCTCACCATCCCTTATGGTATAACCATCATGATACTGAGAAAAGGCATATTTTCTCTTTTCTGTCACTGAGAAGTCAATAGGATAAGATCTCACTCACCCTCAGAAATGCAGAGTGGGCAATGTTATGGAATTCTGTGAAGATTGCATTAATAATGAAACTAATTGCACTAAAAAATATATTTTACAAATTACTTTTAGCTAATTTAGGAACAGATAATTAATAAGTATAATTAAATCAATTAACTTGTGTCATTATAGCATTTCAAAATATTTCCACTCTGTATTAAAAGTTCAGTCAATAAAACTGTTTTATCATTGCTCCATAAAGGTTTTAGGAAACACAAAATTACTTTTAATCAGACAAATAACAGAGTTCTTGGCAAACATACTGCAAGCCCCTGAATGTAATCTCACAAGAGCAATTAGGTTATTTTTCTCTCTGAATTTTATGCCTACTGTGCGATCACGTTCAAAATCTTGATTGTGACTGACATGTGCCTTATAAAAGTCATTTGTCAAGCAAGTTCTTTTTTTACTTGTTACTTGAAATTTACATTCTTCAACACCTCTTAATTCACACAAACTTGTGTCTGAGTGAAGAAGATCAGAAAAAATGGAAATAAAAATGTTGTGCCTATAAAGGTACTTCCATTTGTCGCAAACACTTGGCCAGAGTTGTTACTATCTTTACTTTGTTTATATATTTTATATTGGCCCTATATGGCAATTCTGAAAAACATCAGCACCTTTCCAATCAGAGCAAAATTTTTTAGGGGAAAAGTAATTTACCTCATTCTAATACACAAAAATGCAACAGGCTGACAAAATTGATGTGAGACTGAGTAGGGCGTAAAACAATCCAGAAAATGTTCCTTAAACAATTCCTCTAAATCATTGTCGGGATACACAGACTAACTCCAGCAGTAAATGGAAAGAGTTTTTTTGAAAAAGGAGGCCTTGTCAAACTGTATTCAAACCTATTTCAATCTTTGCTTAGTTTTAAATAATTATAGAAGCTTCTCCCACTCCCCTGCATCTCCTCCCCTCCCTTGCCAGCATAAGCAACACCACTATTTTACACTCTTTTGCACACATAGAAAATGTGGGAATTGTGGCTGGGTGTGAAATACTCCCTAATCACTTGATGAATTAATGCAAACTGGTTATTTGAGTGGATTTGGATTCATCTTTGCGACCACCCTATAAAACTACTGTCTTGCCTGGGACCAAGTGAAGACTGCATGAATAAAGAGAACTTCATTTGACTAAAATGCTCAGTCCCCTAAACTGCTTTTGATACATCCATCTACATCCATGACAGTAATTAATTAGTAACTAATCTCTCATCTCCTCTAGTCAACATTTCTACTTGTTTAAACGTTTTTCTTTTAGATAGATGCATACCTCAGAAAATGTTGTTTCAAATCCTGATTTCTAACATGTAATTCAAAAGGAAGTCTTATAAACGTATCTGGAAAATATCTATGAATTTTATTATATTATAGTTCAATATAATAAATCTTATTTATTTTCAACTGATATTTAGAGTTTTTACATAAGCACCACTTGCATTTTATTAATAAACATAATCCTCTATTTTGTGGCACTTCAAAAATTGTACAGATATTTATAATGCAAGCTACATTACAACCACATGCTATTTTGCAAAATAATTTGGATTAACATTTTCTTGTTAATTTTGTTCCAGTGTTTACATTTGTCTTGGTATTCAGCCCAGACTAATATGGGCTAAACACTATAATCAAGAATAAGCTAACTTTCCCGGTTTATTCAGTTGTGTCAATTTAAGCCGTTAAACAATCACGATTAGTGTGTTCGCTTCAATTATCTTTCTGTGTGTGCTTTGTCCCTTTGTTGGATTCCTCTGGGCTAGAACCACGAGTTTGTGGATGAGCAAGTCTACGAAGAGAGCTGTATGGAGGTCTCCACGGTGAACCGGCCCCCGAGCCACAGCCCCTCTCTGTCGTCTCAGCAAGGCGTGACCAGCACCTGCTGCTCACGGAGGCACAAGAAGACGTACCGCATCCCGAACACCGCCGCCAGCGGCAGCCGCCCCGGCAGCGTGCAGGAGCTCAGCACCATCCAGATCAGATGCGTGGAGAGGACGCCTCTGTCTAACAGGTACTTCATGTGCATCAGCACACCCAGAGCTGGGGCCCCTGGCTTTGTCAGGGAACTGATGCAAAGGTGTTGTGGCCTCCGTAGGCAGGCGGTGAGGCTGAAGATGAGGGTCCAATACTCATCTAAAAATAGGTACTGGTACTGAAATATTCTGTGCTTCCTTTGCTTCAAGCTTAATCCAAAATAACACAATAGTTTCTCTCTCTATCCATTTCTGCCCTCTCAGGCCCTCCTCACAAACTACCGTGCCCTATTTGCATCAACCAGCATCTAGGGACCCCAAGTAAAATAGAGCACCAAATACTCTATGCTGTGGACAAGTGCATGAAAAGAAAAATTTCACATAGAAAAATGTCCAATTCAGATACACGAGATGAGCAAGTGCTCTGTCTGTCCCTTCTTGGTTCAGAGGCATATGAAATGAGACTTCCTTGCATTTCTGCAGAGCAGAGAAATAAAACTGATTCCCAGAGTCCTAGGTTTAATAGTCATAAGAAAGACTCTTCTAAATAAAAAAAAAATATGAAATGGATAAGAAAATTGTATTTCCTAGTTTGAGGAGTTATTGCAAAAGTGAGGAAAGTGCAGTTTAAGAGTCTGTAATTTATTGAATATCCCTGTACTCTCAAAAGTAACGTATTCGGCTTTCACATATATCCAAATATCACCTCTGAAAACACAGCAAAGGTCCCAGGAGATGCAGAAGTGTTTTCTATTGATCTCACATGTGCCACCCTTTAATAAAGACGTATTTTCAGTACAAGTTGCTATAGAGATTGTCTTGTTAAGCTACATTTTGAGTAGCTTTCTTTGTATAGTTACTACATTTGTATTTCACTTCCGTGAACAATCAAACAGATTAGAACTCTTGAAACTACTGAAGTTTTTCAGCTGTTATACAATGAAACCTCCTGGCCAGCACAAAGCTCAAATCTATCTTAGTTCTTCAGGAAATTCTCTGCCTGGATCCATTCTTTTTCTGCTAGAGGACTTGCCTGCACTATATTTCCAGATGCCATGTATATAAAAACAAAAAGCACCAGCTTTGTGCTAGAAAACAAAAACACAAGCACAAAATGCTGGTTTCACCTTGAAATAGTCTGAGTTTTTCAAGTCTTTTGCTATGGGGAGGTACTGCAGCAACTCCATGAACATATTAACACAAACTTAGTGCATATAATAGAGTGCCTTACTATTGAGTAAACAGAATATGCACAGAATCACAGAACCACTAGGGTTGGAAAAGACCTCCAAGATCATTGAAGCCAGTTATTAACCTGGCACCACCATGTTCACCATGTTCACTAAATGACATTTCCAAGAGCCACATCGACATTCCTTTTGAACATTTCCAAGGGTAGTGAGTAAACCACTTCCCCTGGCAGCCTGTTCCAATGTCTGACAGCCATTGCTGTGAAGAAGCTACTCCTAATATCCAAATGTTCTTAAATAAGCATGGTATTGAGGAATATGCAGGAGACTTGGACTGGCCCCTAGTTTCCACTTTCCTGCATAGTAAGCAACTTGGCTATGCTAGCTTTGCAGTTGTTCCCCTGTTCTGAAACACAGGTGATTGGCTGAGAAGTGCTGAAGTGGTGGGAAGGCAGAGAGAAAGGGACATGGCCATGAGCATAGCCATGGACCACCTGCTGCTTGGGTACGGGGCAGTGGGGTGGTGCTGCTCTGTACTCAGAGCTCTCCAGTGGGGCACGATGGAGATGGCTGGCTGAGGGAATGGAATCAGGCTCAAGAGGTTCGTGGTGATGTGGACTTTCATTCTTCATGGATTTTTCTTTCTTCCTCCAGCCGTTCCAGCTTAAATGCCAAAGTGGAAGAGTGTGTTAAACTAAACTGTGAGCAGCCTTATGTCACTACAGCAATAATCAGCATCCCAACACCTCCAGTCACCACACCTGAAGGAGATGATAGGCCAGACTCTCCCGAGTATTCGGGAGGAAACATTGTCAGAGTATCTGCATTATAAAACAAAGAATTATTTATAAATAGCATAAAGACCACTTGGAAGCTGAGCTCGAGCAGTGAAAAATGAGTCGTGAGGAATGAGAGAGCTGACAAAGACAACGCCCCTTGACAAGTGTGCTCGTGGCTGCAGAGCAAGAGGTTCAGGAGAAACAAACTTTGTGGGTTTTGGTGTCATAGGGTGTGAACCAAAAGGAGTTTCTTACCCCGTCTGAACTGATGCGCAGTGGAATCTTCTGTGACCATCCTGACTTACTATATGAGCACAATGAAATGTCCCCATTGATGCTTCTTCTTATCATGAAAGCTCTTTTTAGAAAAAAAACACAAACAAAAAAATAGAAACCTATGTTCCTGCTGAATGCAAAACAACAAGAAACATTTTGATAACGTGTCTTTTTTTCCCCTGTTAATAAACCACAAACTTGTTGAAGAACTGTCAAAAAATGAACGAGAAAATGCTCATATGAAATATGTTTGTACTGACTGAAAGAACTACAACCATAATGCATGCTGAAATTATTTGAAGCTGTGATCTCAGTTTACTTTTGTTGTTTTTCAGATTAGGCATGATAAAATAATACTGTAGAAAGGGGCATTTCTGTGCACTTACAACAAGCTGATTGTTAATGTTTCATGGTAGTTGTACAAATAACTTCCCTTTGAAAAATGCAGTATTTCTTACTCAAACACTCATTAGTGAACTAAAGGTATTCAGTTAGTTCAATATTTACTATTGTTTTATCTTGCTTCCTAGGTACTGTTACAACTGCAATAAGTCATTGTACACCTGTTGTATCAGGAATCAGGATTTTTTTAAGGTATTTTACACAACTTCATCTACACTATAAACTTCTAATGGCAAACATTTAAATAATCTAACAGCCAAACTGTGCACCACAAATTGCTATTCAGTCATTGCTCCTTTTGTTCACTGTTCTCTATTTCTCTGACACTTCATTGCCCACTCCAATATAACTGTATCATTTGGGATTTCAAGGGCACTGATGAATCAACAGTCCATTCTTCCATAGAGAACATGTCCACTTCTGTATTTTCAGAGCAAACTTCTTGTCACAGTTAACTGCTACAGGAGCAATCCTATTTGAATTAAAATTACCACAAATGTGTTCTGGGGATCAGCTAACACTTGTCTCCAAATGTTCCTTTACATTCTGCAGCATCCAGAGTATTAGCTACACTGGAAGACACTGAAAGACATTCAGTAAAAATGATGGCTAAATTCTTTTTGTAATTATCCGTAAACTTGCATCTTAAAACTTGTTTGAGAATTTATATTGTGTGAAGAATATTCAATTACCTAAGAACAATGATAGAATAATGGATTGAGTCCCAAAGCTATAAAAATAGAATTGATTTCAATTGGAATTTGCCCACATGGGCAGGCCTAAAAGCTAATATGAAGGTTTTACAAGTTAAGGCTTCATTTATAAAAGACATTGATATTATCAGAAACTTTTCTTATTAAAAAGTGTAATTTTTCTTCATGACAGTACATTAGATGTATCATAATGCTTCTTATATTCATTACATACCATACATTATATACATCAAATATACACAGAATATGTGCATATCAATACATACATATATACATCAAAAACACTGGATCAGAAATAATTGCATGTCTGCAAAATAAAATATGCATATAAATCAAAACGCTCAGTGCATTAGATGCCATTACAATAAATGATTAACACAGTTACTTAATAGTTTGAGTAGTGTATGTTTCAGTATAGTATTTGCTAGCATTCTACTGACCTGAAAATTTACATTAAAATACCCACTAAAAACTGAAACTTGCTGATGATACACTTTTTCTTGCACACAAATACTGGTCTTTCTCTCTACCTGTCAACAGTGAAGAGTAGATGATAGACTATCAATCATGCTACAGTATATATACCAAAATACAGCATCACATATTAGAATTAAACTGCAAGTAAAAGGAGTAGATAATGCCATTCATTACTCTTTTATCTTATCATTTACTTATTCTGAAGTTAATGCAGTCTTGGTTAATTTGCAATTAACTTCCCAATTTTTTTTCAAATCAGAAGGATTTACTCATTGTAAATGGAGCTTCTCCATGTCTTTCAAACATCAGAGAGCAGAGGCACGGGCTGTGCTCTGAGCCAGAGGAAGGGCTCCTTCTGAACAGCCCTGCCTAAGTCCCTACTCAGCACTGCTCTCTCTTCCACCCTGCAGCAGATCTGCTGAAGCTGGTAGGTTACACAAACTTTAATGGATTTAAAGGAGAGGCAGAACACATCAGAGTTTTTACTTGCATCCTACTTCTACGCATGGTTACTCATACTTGGTCCCCATCTTTGCCAAACATTTATTGATATAAAAACTGCCTTGATGTCAGCAAAGTGCAACAATTTCTTTATGTCACGTGGTACTTCATGACTAGTTATATCAGCTAAATAATGTAAAGGGCAGTTACTAAACCTACTTTGGTACAGACTACACACAGCCCAGGTACCTACTGACTCCATCAGGTCATGTGTCTTTTAAAACTCTTTATTCTCCTGTTCATAGGCTCTAGAAAGAACGCACTACAGCAATATACTTGCATAACAGTTATACCCCTGAAGCAACTTGTATTTTCATTTTTAAAATGCAGCTTAAGAGATAACTTAGTATTATTTTTCAGAATTCCAGTCCTGTCTCCTATTTCCATATGTCACGTGCAAAACCATTAATTTATTCTGAATTTGGGAAATACACATTTTTTTGGTGTTTTAGGTGATTTAAATGCTGTTTTGGTAGTGAATGACTGTTGATGACTGTGTAAAATGCATCTGTACTGTACATGAAATGTAATTATTTCTGTGTATCATACAAAGAAACCAAGGTTGTTGTTTTGACAATTTTGTTTGACAGTCATATATCGTATTTCAGAAGGCAGCATAATACACGTGTTATGCTGAATAAATAGACATTTGAGGAATATTTAAATAAAACATCTGCATGCTTGAATGGGTCAACTTGGTTTTGCAATAACTTATTCATGAAACTTTTTTCCCCCTCTAATAATTTTGAAGGAACACTGAATCTGAAGTCAGCAAATGTCCTAGACAGTAATTCCAGGCAAGATGTGAGTGTATCTAAACCCTACTAGAGCCATCAAGACCAGGATGCCACAGCTCCACTACAGAGTTGCCCTTCTCCTGAGGGACCAGCCATTACCTTTCCCTTCCCAGCCTGCAGCAGCAGAGAAAACTGGAGCATTATTTCCAGCAGTTATGAACTCCACCTCTTTATCTGTACTTTAAGAAATGTCCCTTACGTACATCCAAAAACCAAACTGCTCTGCTGAACTTCTCATACCTGGTATCAAATTCCCTTGATAAAATACTAGTGTACAGAGAAGATCAAACCCTTTGTAGCCCAAGAGCCGATAGTAACATACCATTGGATCACTAATGAAGGGCAGCTGGGTACAGAGGATGTTGATCAACCCTGGCACACCTGATGGCTGCCTCTGCCAGGAGCTCACTGCTCTGGGTGGTGGGGAAAGATAACAGATAACACCTGTCTGTGAACCATCCCAGAGCATTTTTGAGAACAACTGTCCTCTCATAAAATAGCTACAGAAGGCAAACTGAAAACATACGGTTTACATTCTGAAGTTGTGGATACACTCTAGGTGGAAGCACCCTGGCTACAAAGAGAAGGCTTTCACAGCAGGGAACCCAATGTGCAGAGAGAAGGGGGCCTTCAGAGAGGAAGCAGATCTGGAGGGGGACAAATTACTGAAGCCATAGGATCATTACATTTTGGGCAGGGAGCATGGTTAGGAGGTCATAAGATCTCTTTGCTGCACCTAAGGCCTACCAGGGCTTTATTTTACAACTGACTATGGGAATATTTTAGCACCATCACCTGTTCTAGAGGAGCCATCAGCTGATGGGATGTATAAACATGTGGCTGAAAGAGTAGATTGGCAGTGTCCAGCAGATATAGGGAATAATCCAGCAGCTTAGTTTCTTACCTGCCAATGTCATCAAGCTGTCTACTTTACAGTATCTACACACAAGGAACTGAAGTTGGGGGAGTGCTGAATGAAAAGGAGGTGGATATAAAAAAATTCTCAAAAGTTTAGGATATCACTTTTTTTTTCTTAACGGGAAGTAGTCAATCATACACAAGTTGGAAAGTTTTAGATACAATCTCACTTCAACAACAGCATTTTGCATGAATTAAATGCAATGCTTGTGGTGGGCTGACAACACTGGAAGGATGCCAGATGTCCACCAAAGCCACTCTGTTCCCTTCTCAGCTGGGCAGGGAAGAGAAAATGTAGCAAAATAATTTATCTTGGGCAGGGAGAGATCACTCACTGACTGCTGTCACAGAAAAAACAGTCTTCACTTGCTGCAATTTATTACCAATCAAATCCAAATAGGATAATAAAATATAAAACATCTTCCCCCCCATCCTTCCCTTTTTCCCCGAGCTCAACTTTATTCCTGAACTCTACCTCGTCCTCAGAGGTGCAGGTAGACAGGAAATGAGGTCTGTGGTCAGTTCATCATGTGTTTTCTGATGCTCTCTCCTCCTCCCAGGAAGGGCTCCTCACACTCTTTACGTGCTCCAGGATGGGGTCCCTTCCATGGGAGATGGTTCTCCACAAACATGGAGTGGAGAACTCCTTCTCATGGACTGCAGTTCTTCATGAACTGCTCCAGCATGGGTTCCCCACAGGGTCACACACAGCTGCCATCAGACCTGCTGCAGCGTGGGTTCCTCTCTCCACAGGTCCTGCCAGGAGCCTGTTCCAGTGGGGCTATGCACAGGGTCACAGCTTCCTTCAGGCACCCACCTGCTCCAGTGTGGGATCCCCCCGGGCTGCAGGTGGATCTCTGCTCACCATGGACCTCCACAGGCTGCAGGGACACAGCCTGTTGCACCATGGGCTGCACTACCGGCTGCAGGGGAACCTCTGCTCTGGTGCCTGGAGCATGTCCTGCCCTTCCTTCTTCACTGACCTTTGTGTCTGCAGAGCAGCTCCTCTCAATCCTCTCTCCAGCTGCACTTGCTGTTGCCACAACCACTTTTTGTGCTTCTTACACAGCTGTCCCAGAGGTGTCACCCCTGTCACCAAAGGGCTCGGCCAGCAGTGGGTGTGTGCTGGTTGGCTCTGGCTCTGTCAGACACAGGGGAAGCTTCTCAGCTTCCCACAGAAATCACCCCACAGCGTCCCCACTACTGTGCCATGCAAACCCTTAGTGTTTCAATGTTGTAAGATTTTAATAATTTGTGTTTTTCTACACAGTTTACAGAATGAC